CCGTTTTTTTTTTTGTTCCCCCCTTCCGTTTTGAGTTATTTTGTTATTTCATGGGAAAGAAGAAATAGGGTTTCGTGGGGGGGGGGGATGATGGGCTTTTGGTAGGGTGGATTTTAATTGTGTAAGCCGCCCGGAGTCACCGTATGGGAGTTGGGTGGTGTATACATTTGTTTCGTAAATTAATGCAGAAATAAATCTTTGGTTGCATGGCAATAGGTAGGGTTGTGGATCAAGGGCTGGGGCACATCAGCTTCAAGTCTACCTCAGCTATGGAAACCCAGTCAGAGATATGGGGCTAGGCACTCTCTCAGCCCAGCCTACCTTACAGGGTGGTTTTCTGGGGATAAAATGAAGAGAGATCCCCATGTAAGTTGCCTTATGGATTAATAGTGATGAAGATGATGATGCAACCATGTTCTGGGTCCCTGAGTGACCCCTAAGGTGACCGTGATACATTCACTGGCACCCACCAAATTCCCTGCTCTACCTAATTTTATTCCCTTACATTGCTTTAATTTTAAAAAATGAATGGGAAGGAAGCGTATGGTCAAAGCACTCCCCTCCCAAGCATAAACTATATTTTGGATGACGTTTGGAAGCCCCAAGTAGACCCCCAGTCTGAGGAAATAAATCAGTGAGTGGATGCAGCCCCAAAAGCTTGATTTGCTTTCTAGTAAATGGTGGTTTGGGGATTGGCTATGCCCACCGTGGCAGCCATTTTGCAAGAACGTCCATAACCTCCCTGCAGTATTTCAAATGGGACCCAAAGTTGGGGACTCTCTCCATTACAGGAGACTGCAATAGAAGGAGAAAGAGAAGGTCACACCATCAGCTTAGCTGAAAAGGTAATCAAGGTTTGACTCCTGCACCAGCTGACTCCTGTAAGAGCTCTGCAAGTAAAACTTGAGTCCAGTTCTGCTTTCTTCCTCCTCCCTCCCCGTGCCTCTTCCTTTTATATTGTCTTTCAGTCTGTAAGCATCAGAGGAGGGACCATTTGACGCCCTAATTATAGACCGCTCAATTTGAAAGGTATCAAATCTTCAATCAAATGTTACCATTTTAATTTGACACACCCTCAGCATTTTAAGTTGCAGAATTGCAACGGGAGGCAATTTGCTAATTTAAAAGCGCTTCTGCTGTCATACTTCAGAGATGTTTTATTTCAAGGAGTGTGGTATCCAGAGATTGGTCTGCTTTGAATTTGCTCGGGTCGTGGAGAGAGAGGTAATTTCGAACTGGGATGATCTGAAAAGGGGGAAGCCCAAATTTGGATCAGTATTTTTGGGGGGCAATGAAAAGATTGAAAACAGGTTATGGGCATTCCTTCCCCTCCCTTTATCAGCGGTAGTTGTAGGAGGTGCTTGTATTTTATTCTGCATCATGAACTAAGTGTTCTCTGTGTGTATTTGTGGGCATTTGGGCATTTTCTCCCCAGGAACTCATCAGGGTATGTGCATCCATATTACCTGTATGTGTGAGGTTGCCTCTGTGCGTGTGTCCTTTCTGTTGCCTCTGTGTATGCTCATGCATAGCTGTCAGCCCCACCAGGTAGGCCAGACCAGGAAATCAACTCCACAGGAAGACCAGAACTCCTTTTACTGAGATTGGCTGCAATAACAGAGTCTGGCAACTCTGATTGTGTTGTACCTCCTTTCCCCTGTGCTCCTGTAAATCAGGAAGGTGTCTGCCTGCATCACTTCTGAATGTTAACTTCTTACTCTGGACTTAAAAAGGGTTTCAGCCCCTTTTGCCTAGGTAAGGATTCTTGTGCATTTCCATTGTAACGATATGTGGGAAAGACCTTTTGAGACGGGGCGAAGAGATGCTGCCTAGTGAATGGTCAGATAAGAGAGGGCGTAGCCCATAG